GGGGGGGGGAGGGGAAGGCAGGTCCTTATCTGAGCCGCGGAGTGGGGGTAGCGGCGCGCACCGCTTGCCGCCGCAAAGTGACTTCCGGCAGCAGTAGTCGCCTTCCGCGTTCCTTTCACTCGTCGCGTTATTCGCAGCTCGCTGCGGCGACATCGCCGAACGATCTAGAACGCGGATCGATAAAAATCTCAATATCTCCGCTTGTAGACATCGTAGCGACTTGAAACAAAGATCATTGGAAAGGGAAAATTATCGCGCTTCCTACATAGACTCCTGAAATAGTCCTCCTGTAGAATCAAGCGGCTTAATTATGTAAGTAAGAAATACACATCATTACATTATATTATTATTATTATTATTATATTATTATTAAGTAAGAAATACATCGGCTTTTATATTTGCCCTAAAGAGTGAGCATTAATTATTAATCTATATTGAAAATCAGTGAAATATCTTAGTTTGGTTTTGTAATACGAAGTTTTATGTTTTTGATGAGTATAAAGCACAACTTAAAAGAAAAGGGGAATGATAATAATGGGAACTTTCTATTTAGCGAATATTTTTTGCCATAACGTCAAAGTTCAAATAGCAAGTAAATTTAGCATTCAGTATTTAGCATAGTAAATTCAGTAGTGATGACATTAACTACTCCTTTATTTATTATTATTTTTTATGATTATATTATATTATATATAATCACATACACAATTATATTTTATTATATCTTATTACAATTATATTTTATTATATAATATCTATATTATATAATTATATTTTATTATATAACATTATATATTTTGAAATGTTATTAATATTATTAAATATCATTTAATATCATTATGTTTGTTTGCTAGGCTCATACTTTAAGTGGAATAACTTTTTATTAAAACTTTGCATTAATGTCAAGTTGTTGCGATCATTTTTAGATGCAATATAGGTTAATTCCCAATTTTTTCAAAATTTCTGAAATATGAGCAATGTACCCTTAAAATAAAAGCGAAATGACAATAATGGTAACTTTCTATCTAGCAGCGAATATTTTTTGCCGTAACGTTAATGTCGAAATAATTAATGAATTTAGTTTCAACGTTTGTTGTCTTAGCCGCCACAACTATATATTAGTTGTTGCGGCTAATCCTTTTCCTGCATACAAGTCGGAAAGCGGAATGTCAGTTCGCTCGTGTGCGTGTCGCAGAAAATTCTGTTTACGCAAAGCACGCTGGTTGTCGCGATTACCGTCACCGTCGGTGATATATTATACGCTCCGGAGATGTGTCACTTCTCCAAAGCAATCTTCCCTATTGTTCTCGCGGACGGATACGATACAGGGTGACCGCCGCCCCCGCGAACCCATCATCGACGGTGGCGGTGGGCGCGCAGTGATCGGCCGGAAAGGGTTGACTCGACGCTTGACAGTGCCTAATTACGACAAGAAGAACGATTAGTTGACGAGCGTGATCAATTTTACCGTGGACACATTGTTCGGGCGAAAGTTGCGCGCGCGGAAGAAGACGCGCATTGAAAAAAATCCCTCAATTATCAGAACAAAAGCGCGCTTGTTGTTTGACGATCGTTAGGAAAACAGGCCGAACAATTGAGCCAGGGACACATAGAAAAACTTAAACAGTAAAAAAATTGACTAATCACAGTCGACGATTCTTCTTATGGTCGAAAAATAATCGATCGGTTTTTTGCTTAAGTTTGTCTTATTGCTTAAATATATTTAGGTCTTTACCGTTGTAAATCATTTTTCATGTCATTTCAATGAACATACTATATTGCTTGAGACAGAAACCACATTCGTTCTCGTGTATTTAGATCAGGTTAGTTATGTCTTTATTGCAGAAATGTTTATAATAGCAAATTGTAAGTAACGAATAATTTGTTTCCACTACGTCACATTGTCTGTCCCATATCAACAAACTATTTGTTGCGGGTATTGATATATTGTTATATTAGCAAAATTTTTTCTCTCAGTGTACTTGCGGACGGCGATTTTCATTAATTACTGTCGAATGCGTTTGAATAAGATCACGCGCGCGTCTAAGTGATTGACCCGATCGTCCGCGAATTAAGGCACGGCTCCTTTCTTCTCGTTCTTACTTTATTTTCTCCATTTTTTTTTGTTCGTTTTGGCTCGAACGAGCTCGATCCATTATCGATTTAACGCCGAGGACGAAATTGTCCATTCATCAAAGTGTCGTTGAGCAGGATATTCATTCACTCGTCGCTAATTCTTTGAGAAACTGCTCTACGCGCAAATTATCGCAATTGTCACGCGAACAGTGAGATATTAAGTGTGAGAGATGTATCGTAAAGTCGGTAATCAGAGATTGGAGAAATTGAAAAATCAGTTTCTCGAATATTGAATATCGTTACATGGGAATTTATGACGTTTCACGTCGCGTGTGGCGCGGACACGTTGAGGAATAATCCAGCGGAACAGGCACTTTAATCGTCGAAAAGCGTGAGTGTCGGTACTTGTGACACTTTCAAAGTTCCACTTTGATTAGTTTGACTTCGCGAAATAACGCCAAATTTAGACTGACTAAGTCTCGACGTCGACGTTCAGAGACTCGACGACATCTTCATCGACTTGAGCGACTGATAAAATGCAAAACGAGCAATTCGTTGTGCTTCAAGAGAGAAGATCTCATTTTGTTTACTCCATTCTCTCTCTCTCTCCTTCTTTTTCTTTCTTTCTTGCTCTTGCGCTTGAAGGGATATGTATCCCAGGAGCGCCTAATAAATTACGCTCCTTGTTTTTTCTCTCTTTCTTTTTCTCTCACGTCCTACTTTGCCTTAGTACAACTCACATGCGACATTACACTGAGAGAAAGAATACCTAAGAAATAATAAATACATGTAAATTTACTCAAAAGGTACACTCCGATTTCTTTCTAATTTGGTACAAATGTAAAAGTACAAAAAATATTTAGGTCATACTTTTTCATTTTGGCCCACTTTGAGTTTCACGGATAGTTTATAGCTTTTTAATGTTCTCACTTCTATTATCAACAAGTACAACAAAGATGCATAAGAAATAAAATTGAATGCAAGATATAATTAAATAATTTTAACAAAATCGGCATGGTTGAGACACCAATTATTCTAAATTTCTTTAGCTGAGATTCCAACCGAAATATTTGTGCCAAATCTGTGTTAAATTAGTCAAAAATGGTCCGAATCTCGGCCAAATCAAAATCTGGCAATTTTAATTAAAATTTTAACAAAATTGGCATAGCTGAAACATGAACCATTTTAAATTTCATTAGCCGAGATTCCACTCGAAATATTTTAAATCTGTGCTAAATTAGTAAAAAATGACTCGAATCTCGACCAAAATAAAATCCAACAATTTTAATTAAAATTTTAACAAAATTGGCATAACTGAATCACGAACCATTCTAAATTTCTTTAACCGAGATTCCAAACGAAATATTTCAAATCTGTGCTAAATTAGTAAAAAAATGGTTGGAATTTCGGCCAAACCGAGAAATTATTTGTATAAATAATTTTTAAAAAATTTTTTACATGTTTTATTTAAACATTTTATTATTTATACAAATAATTTTACACATTTGACTTTATATTCATAATCAGCAAACTAAAAACGCCTATATCTTGTATTCAATTTTATTTCTTATGCATTTTGTTGTACTTGTTGATAATAGGAGTGAGAACATTAAAAAGCTATAAACTGCCCGTGAAACTGCCTCAAGGTGGACCATAATGAAAAAAAATGTGACCTAAATATTTTTTGTACTTCTATATTTGTGTTAGAAAGAAATCGGAGTGTAACTTTTGGGAAGGTTTACTTATTAGTAGTAAATGTACATTTTCGTAAAATCTTAGCTTTTTATGAAAGCAATTATTTATTTCATTTAAATAAAATAATTTAGATTTAAATAAATATGTTATTATAATCCCGTAAAATGAATATTTATTATTTTTTTAGATATTTTTCGCTGATGTCACTCGCGTTATCGAAACAATAATTCTCAATCCCCCTTTTTCTCCTGCGGACACCTTACTATTGATAGATTGACAGTTAAAAAATTCTCGACCAGTCGCACTTATATTTAGCTGTGTATTTTTACGGCTGTTAATTAATCCAAAAAACGCAAACGTGCTTTTTGGATTAATTAACGGTTACGCGAGAAACGAATACGACTGGTCGATAATTGTTAGTAACTATCGATCTGTCGAATGGTAGAGCGATATCGATCTATCGAATCGAATTTGCTGAGTGTACAGAGGGCGTCGTTATAGGCGCGCGACAACACCAATTGAGCGCGCATTTTGGATCATTATACTTCGGGCAGCCGCCATTGAAACATCGATCGACATCGCTCCACGTTTTACGCGTCTTTTGTCTGCCGAAAGTACGGAAATAAATATCGGGAGTGTCGAAAATAGCGGCGTGCGCGATCGTTGGGACATATCGTAAGTACGTAGTAGCGAATAATTCATTTGTTTCTCGTATCTCATTTGCAACCGCTGCTTGTCGTGACATGTCGATCCGGAGTCTATCATCTTCATAATTATCTTTGACTCACTCGAAGTAAGTAATAGTAAAAGTAGTAATAGAATCGAGCAAGTAATAGTAAAAGTAGTAATAGAATCGAGCGTTCGTCGGACTTATTAACCGGGAACCAGCAATTCGGTGATAAGATGAGCAATGCTTGCATTCTAAAATTGAAAGCTGTTTATCGTACTTGAATTGTATTGTATACAAAAGAGAAATATAACTTTATCCTAAACGTAACGTATAGTCGCATCTCGTACTATTGATACTTCCGAATTTTTGTCGTCGGCGAGCTCGAAATAGAATAATTTCTTTATCATTGTGACTAATTAGGTAAACATTGTCTGTCTCAGATCTGGTGGAGCTTGTAGCCGTGACGAAGAGGTCTGTGATTCAAGTGTTCGCGGATGCAGGACCGAAGGATTCGGTTCGGGCCAAGCAGAGTCGATTCGAAGGTTTATACACATTCTTTATATTTCTTTATTCAGCTGTTTGCAATCGAAAACCAAACTATAATTTTCGAATTGAAGATTGTTGAATTACGACCGCGAAGAATTGATCCATTCATACACTGCAAAAACTGATGTATTAAATTTAACACATTTCATGTGTCCCAAATCATCCACTTTCATTTATGTGTAAATTTAACACAAAATAAATGTGTTAAAAAGTAACACGTATAATGGAAAAAATTAATACAAGAATTTAACACTTGAATACCGTTAGAAATCACAGGTTGGATTAAATTGACATATTTAATATGTCAGACATACATTATGTCAATTTAACATTTTTATTTCATCAACACCATAGATTAATATTTCTCTCAAATGTTAAAGTAACGTTTTATTTTAGTTAATTTAACATTATATATATGTTAATTTAACACAAACTGTAATTTCTGATGGTATTCAAGTGTTAAATTCTTGTGTTAATTTTTTACATATTATGCGTGTTACTTTTTACCACATTTGTTTTGTGTTAAATTTAACACATCAGTTTTTACAGTGTATGCGCATTTATCCGTTGAACTAGATCATTAGAATTAATCAGTAACGCTGTTTTTCTGTTACAGAATTAAAAGCAGCGGACTCTGAGTTGGCGACATGTTTCGGTGAGTGAAAGAAGTTCACAGTTTGAACCGTGATGTATATATAATTTTAATGGTGATGGGCATTTATAAAAAAACTTCACAAATCAATACGATTTACATTGCTTGTAGATTCTTGCATATTGTATATGTCTCTTTATATATATCGCCTAAAACAATCAGGGAATCACCTCGCATATCTGTATTATATAAGTACACTTATACGTATTAATACTTATACGTTATAAGTATTTTAATTTTTTTCCCTATTTACAGTCAAGGCTACAGAATTCAGCGCAGAGTTATTATCACAGTGTGATTCCTTAATTGTTTTTTGCAATATATAATGCGCATCAGAATTGCGCTACCAGTTGTGGAATTCGCGATTGTTTCGTTCGTATTGATGGATTTCGCGGTAGCCATGGTCAGTTTTTTCTAAATTTTTTCCATATACAGAGTTGGTAAAAAGTCCGGAAACGGTAAAATATCTCGAAAAGGATCAACTGTAGCGAAAAATATGTAAGTAGCAAAGTTGTAGGGCTTAATAAAATGTGCCTAATGATGGCTAAAAATTTGACTTTGGGCGGAGGACGAAGGTTATACGAAGGTCAAATTGAATTTTTTTAATTGGATCCCCCACTTTTTATTACATATTCTTGTAGCTTATTTCAAGGGCTTTCCAAAAACCTATAATAAAGTATTTTTTTTTATTAGGCATATTTAGAGTTATGAGACTTGAAAGGATTTTAGTCTTTAACTGTTTCTGTTTCGTAAAAACATATCACTGTCTTCTGAACGGTGGATTTAGAAATAAAATTGCGATCAGGATATGCAGCATTGAATGTGTAGATCAGTTACTTCTTCGTATGATCTAATATAGTCTCCAAATTTTCGATAAAGAAACAGCATTATCTTTTCTTTATCGGTGAACATTTTTAAAAAAGAAATTTGAAATTGTAGTTGGAAAAAGAAAGGAAAAAGACAAAGAGTAAGATGCGAAAGAGCACGACTCGTTTTTAAAATACAAAGATCGAGAAGCGTTATCGTGAAGCGCGGGTATGCGCGAGTTTTGACTGAGTACGTGTGATATTACGTCGTGAATGAATAACCGCGTTCGATGAGAGCGAATGAACAACTAAGCCGGTCATATCGTCTAGCTCGAGACACGAAAAACAAAGTTATTCTTGTTTTTCTCCTGTGTTTATGTTTTTTAGGCTCCCAGCCTAGTTGTTCATTCGCTCGCATCGAACGCGGTTATTCATTCACGAAAAAATACTTTATTATAGGTTTTTGGAAAGCCCTTGAAATAAGCTACAAGAATATATAATAAAAAGTGGGGGGTCCAATTTAAAAAATTCAATTTGACCTTCGTATAACATTCGTCCTCCACCCAAAGTCAAATTTTTAGCTATCATTAGGCACATTTTATTAAGCCCTACAACTTTGCCACTTACATATTTTTCGCTACAGTTGATCCTTTTCGAGATATTTGACCGTTTCCGGACTTTTTGCCAACCCTGTATATTTACGTCGAGATTCAATTTCGTAGATAGAGATGAAATTTGTTATCATTCGATATCGCGCACGCGTGTGGAGATGAGTTCTGTTACAGTAAAATCATTCAATGTGCTGAGTTTGCATATTATTTTCGCGGTACAATATAAACTCACAGATAGTCGAGATTCTGTTTTTAATTTTTTATATAAAATTTCTTGTGCGCGAGATACGACACTATCGAGTATTAGTATTTTTTTCATGAAAATAATACGACAGTCACGAGAGAGAAGCTCAAGTTTCGTGTTTGTTTACGCGTCCGTGAAATTTCGCGTTAGTTATAGAGAAACTTTAAGTGGTAACGAAATATCGTGCGTGATTTCTGATTTTTGTTTTTTCATACTTACATCCGGTTTTGTGATCGCGTCTGGCAAACAGGAAGTTTGTTAAATTTGCGAGAGTGTTCCGAAAGCCAACTTCGCAGAGATATTGCGGAGTAGTCTTTGTGCAATATGTCGCAGAGCGATTTTCGCACAAATGTTGCGGAGCCACTGTGCGTGAGAACTTCGCGCTACTTGTGACTCGCCGACGCACCACGTTGGCGAATTTCACAATCGGTCTTTAATTCGCCTCGCGTTTACATCTCTAACGGATTTTAATTTCGCGGTTCTCGTTATCGTTTTTTTTTGTTTTTTTATACGCGATACGTGCTGCGAATATATGAATGCCGAAATGGCATTATGATCCGTCGCGTGCGAATAACTTCGATAAAATTATCACTAAATTTGGTGCGCATATTTATCGTTCATTTTTCAAATCAAGCCCCTTTCGCAACGAGGAGCCCATTTCGACGAGGCATTAACGTCCGTGATATATATTTTCTTTTCCTCGATCTTTCCGTCGAAAGCCAGTTATGATTTTTGGAGTACACCGGAATTTTTGTCTTTCGTTAAATCACTGAACGTCTTTTAAATGATCGCGGTCGCGAGTGAAATGTGTGATGAGAGACGACTGCAAGGCATTACCGAGACGATGGACAGATAATGTGGGCGATGCAGTCGACACACAGTGGGCTTCATCGGGGAACAGGACGGCTGGACGTCGCGGGACATACAGAATGGTGAGTGTTATTGCAATTATGAACGCTCAAAGAGCTCCAGTACTTCTATGTAGTGCATGCAATGTTTAGACGTAAATCGTATTGATTTTAGTCTATTTATTTTGTACATTGAGAAAAGAAAGCAATTGGGTTGGTAAAATCCGCGGTCATCTATCTTCAAAGAAATATTGTGTTTATTAAACAAATTACACGTTAGTGCAACCATCAGTTGCGTTGATAGACAATAGCGTAATCACCGAGTCAGTTGATATAATTCATCACAGCAACTATGCGATTCGTTCAAGCAGTTTCATTAATTCAACCACTTTTTTCTCAGTGTACACATCTAATGTGCAAACTCTATCTATATATCTCTATCTGCATATTAAAAAAATGGTTGAAATATTGCATCATTTATAATTACGTTTCCCTAGTCAGGTTTTAATATCTAATATTTTATCTACCAGTATATTACGTATTTTTCATTTTTTTTAATTCTTTTACTCGACCAGTCAAATGAAAAATGGCTGAAATATTGTTTAAATTACCTCTTTCTGATCAGGTTTTAAAACCTAATAATACTCGTTAATACATTACATATTTTTAATTTTATATTCTATCGGATGTTTAGTCGCGAAATTGCGATTAAAGTTGATTTAAATGTCAGCAAGATATTGAATCATTCGATAATTTCGCGCGGGGATGAAAGATACATGACTTCGAATCTTGCTAGGGATATGCTGAGAGAGAGAAAATATTTAAGAAATAGAATAAATATATTTATTCAGTGGGTACTAATAATACATATTTACTTTCGCTAACATAAAATATTTTTCAAATAAGAAGATGTATTTTCTTAAAACTTTAAGAAAATCTTATCTTTTATGAAAACAATAATTTATTCTATTTAAACGAAAAAATTTAGATTTAAGTAAATATGTCATTTTTTAGTACCTATCAAAGAAATATTTGGTATTTTTTAGATATTTTTGCTCTCAATGTAGCATCGGTCTGTCAGCAAGGATGTATATTCTGTACTGTAAAAACTGATGTGTTAAATTTAACATTTCATGTGTCACAAATCATCCACTTTCATTTATATGTAAATTTAACAAATGTGGTAAAAAGTAACACACATAATATGTAAAAAATTAAAGAAGTAAAGAATTTAACATTTGAATGCCGTCAGGAATCACAGTTTAAATTGACATATGTATAATGTTAAATTAACTAAAATAAAATACTTTAACATTTAAGAGAAGTATTAATCTATAGTTTTGATAAAATAAAAATGTTAAATTGACATAATTTATGTCTGACATATTAAATATTAACAATTTAACACAACCTGTGATTCCTAACGGTATTCAAGTGTTAAATTCTTGTGTTAATTTTTTCCATATTATGCGTGTTATTTTTTAACACATTTATTTTGTGTTAAATTTACACATAAATGTGAGTGGATGATTTGGGACACATGAAATATGTTAAATTTAACACATCAGTTTTTACAGTGTATCTCATGAAAACTTTACTATATATATATAGATTAATAGTTACTAAAAGCTTTCGGTCAGCTGCATCTGTTTTTAGCTACGCGTTTCTCATGTTAATTAATTAAAAAATTGCGTTAAAAGGAGAAGTGACGTTTTGACAGCTTAACGTTTCGTCTACGTAAAGAGAGTTATTTGCTCACGTGCAATGCGCAATCAGCACTTATTAAGTAATTACAATTTTATACATATTAATTTCTTACTTATTCTTCTTAATGAAATATCCTTTTCTTTTGCTGATTTCAATACACGTGAGCAAATAACTCCCTTTTACTGACGAGCAGCTGTCAAAAAGTCACTTCTGCTTCTATTCTCGCTTTCCCGATTAATCAACAGTTATGATAAATACGTAATGAGAAACGACTGCTGCTAGTCAAACATTTTAACGATTATTGATTTAATAAATGGCAAAGCATCTGCGGGATTGAACGTACATCAAATCTCATAAATGCAGTTCCATTTCCTAGTATGGTGGTGTATGGAATTTTCGGCCAAGTGCATCGTACATATAAAATATTTGTGCATCGTGACTGTCGATTATTCTAGAAATTGCCGATCTCCCGAATAATCAACAGTCATGATGTGCGAATATTTTATATATGATGCTATAGAGAGGAAATGGAATTGCATTTATGTGATTTGGCGTGCGTTAGAAACCGCACGAATTTTGCGACACAACTCACACTGGCGTTTGGTGGAAGATATTAGTTCGCGATATGTGCGAGCGCTTCATCCGGAAGCGACACTGAGAAAAATGTTTTGTATTTGCAATTACAATCACGCGCAGAGAGATAATAAATTATGCTGAAGGAAGTTATCTTTTTCTTAAATTATACATGGAGAGAATATTGTAGTAAAAATTACAATACAATTTTTGTACTTCGAGAATAGACTGGCATAATGATGAAAATTATAATGAGACATACACAGAGAGAACGATTTGGTTGAATCAATTTCTTTAGAATAGTCCAAACGAATTTTTTGAATGATCGAATAAAATTTTATTTGACGCAACAAAAATATTTATTTGCGACTTAGTTCCAAAGAAATATTTTTGTTGTGTCAACCAAAAAATTTATTTGGACTATTCCAAGGAAATATTTATTTGATTCAACAAATCGTTCTCTCTGTGTAGTAACAGTGACCATGAACATAGTAAAAATTACTATAAGTGTAATAAAAATTATTGTGTTTATGGTCATTTGTATTGTTATAATTTTCGTAATAGTATCAGTCTATATCTGGACTATTAAAATTGTGTTGTAATTTTTACTATAACATTCTCTCCGTGTACTACAATAACCTTGTATGTATGTTATTACTACCATTTTACTACAAAGGCTATGGCCGGGACTAGAAATGACTATAATTTTAGTTAGATGAACCGTTTTTCCTCTCAATGGAGAGTCGGTTATTGAATTAAAAAAACAACTGAAATATTACGCGGCGTAATGTGTATTCGCGGGTCGTGAGAACCGCCTGGGGCATACCGTTTATTCAATTGTGCCCGCAGTCACGGTTTTGCCCCGCACAATGTCTTTGCAACGCTTGCACGACGATAATCAATTCGCCAGCGCGAATACAGGGCGCGCGGAACACGTCTGTGAAGATGGCACCACATTTTTAAAAAAATCAATTTATTATTATAGTTCTGATCGCACCCCGATGAGTTCTAGAGTTCTAGATAACATTTAGAAATAGCTCCGGCGAAATAAAGTAAAAAAACTAATTTTTAAGTTTGGAGGTGTTAAGTTCACAAAATTAGGTCAGAAAAGTGACAGTAACTTTTTAACGGTTGCACCAAATGAATTTCATCATTAGAATTTTTTAAAGAATTCTTGTGGTGCTACCCAGAACTTCAGTCGGAACGCTGGAATTACTAAAAAAAATTTCACCCTTTCAGGACTTAGAAATTTTCACGAAATCGAATCTTTGAACGGCTAGAACTTCTCCCTCATTGGTTGTAGCTCGAAGATTCATAAAGATAATCGATAGAACTCTTCGAGGTGCTATCAGAACTGTGGTCGAAATGCTGGAATTATTAAAAAAAATTTCACCCTTTCAGAACTTAGAAATTTTCACAAAATGAGATCAGAAAAATAACAGTAACTTTTTAACGGATGCACCAAGTGAATTTTATCAAGATTTAGAAATTTTTACAAAACCGAATCTTCGAACGGCTAGAACTTCTCTCTCATTGGTTGCAATTAGAAGATTCATAAAAATAATCCATAGAACTTTTCGGGGTGCTATCAGAATTCCAGTCGGAACGCCGGAATTATTAAAAAAAAATGTTACCACCAGATGCTTAGAAAAAAAATGATCTAATTTTTTTTAATTTTGCCAACAAAATTTTTTCCTGTATGTTATTTGTATTTTAGTGCTAGTTCTGATAGTCTTCTTCCTCCCCAAATTATTCTATCGATTGTCCTCTTAACTCTAAACGTTACAGTTGACAGAAATAATTTATAGCGTTTTGAATTTTCAGAATGGAAGTTAGCCCTCCCGTAACCTTGTAATGGTATGCTCGCTGCTGTGAGTTCTGGTAACATCTCGATGAGTTCTATCGATTTGATTATTTTTATGAATCTTCGAGTTAAAACCAATGAGAAAGAAGTTCTAGTCGTTCAAAGATTCGGTTTCGTGAAAATTTCTAAGTCCTGAAAGGGTGAAATTTTTTTAAATAATTCCAACGTTCCGATCGGAGTTCTGGATAGCACCACAAGAGTTCTATAAAAAATTCTAATGATGAAATTCATTTGGTGCAACCGTTAAAAAGTTACTGTCATTTTTCTGATCTCATTTTGTGAACTTAGCACCTTCAAACTTCAAACTTCAAAATTAGTTTTTTTACTTCATTTCGCCGGAACTATTTCTAAATGTTATTTAGAACTCTAGAACTCATCAGGGTGCGATCAGAACTAATAATACCAGAATGATAATAAATTGATTTTTTTTTAAATGTGGTGCGATCTTCACAGATATGCGTGGAATCGCGTCCGTAAAAATCCTTAATGCGCTCGTTGCTTGGGAAGGAAGGGTCCTTTGCCTTAAAATCGAGCCGCACTATAAACTTTTTACGAAACGGTCCCTAAAAGCGCAGATATAACACGGTGCTGTATGTCACGTCTAAAAACGCGCGTCCTCCTCAATTTCATCGCATCGATCCGCGTATCAATATTCAAAAAGCCCAACTGAAGCAACTGAATGGATATGAATATATACATTTGTATTTGTGTGTGTGTGTGTGTGTGTGTGAATATATATATATATATATATATATATATATATATATATGATACACAGATTTTATTTAGGTGTATCGCACTTTTAAATATTAACGTAGCAGAAAATTCCATGCGGAGCTCTCATAACGATATACATCGCGACCACTGTAGAAAAATTTCTCGTGACTTTCTATCGAGAGAAAATTTCGAATATCTTTTTTTGAGTGAAAACGCTACAAGCGCGGTTTTAATCGCGAGCGGTTCTAACGTCAGAAATTCCGTGAACGGGCAAGTTAAATCGGGACGGTAAATCGCGGGTAAAAAAGTTTCTCCCTCGCGCGGATTAATCGTCGAGACACTTATTGTCGGGGGCCGGGAGCAATTTCCTTTCGGTGAAGTAAGAATCGAGTGAAAAGGGAGCGAAAGACTCACCTAAGATAGTGACGAGGATCAGGATGAAGAGCACGAGAGCTCTCAGGACGATCGAAGCGTCGATGAAGACTGGATCTTCCGCGGATGCGTTTACCGCTTGATTGACGTGAACCTCCATCGTGGCTAAAGCGTATTTCCCGTCTTCAATGCTCGCTATTCATCATCTGGTTAGATAATGTATCATGGTCCGCCCTCGTTAGCGGCTCTGAAGCTTCCTTTCTTTTTTCTCTTTCTATTTTTTCTTTTTCGGCTTTCTTTTTCTTCCTCTTCCGGCTTTCGGCGGACGCGGAGTCAACGCCTGGCCGATGCACGGCGGCTGTTACTCCTCTCGTGTACTTGCACGTCTATTTCAGAGTTCGCTGCGACCTCCATTTTCCACAATTTTCCGCCCCGAGACTCCATGGACTTTCAGATGCGAGTGTTTTGCTCCCGTGCGATGTACCGGTCGGTCCTTTCGCATGCGTATCTGAAACGACGAAACGCGAAAAACAATTCAAATTCCATTCAAGCTTTAATTTGCCGTTGACTTTGCATCGCGAGAGAACGCTTGAACTGAGACAAATCCCTCGATTAGCAGAACAAAAAGCATACTTGTTGTTTGACGATCGTTAGCTCGAAATCTACAGAAAAGCTTAAGCAGCAAGACGCAAGTAGAAAGAAAATTGACCAATCACAGTCGTTTATTCTTCGACCGTAAGAAGAATCGTCGACTGCGATGAGTTAAACTTTTTTACTGCTGAAGTTCTATTACTTAAGTTTGCTGTGTGTCTCCGGCTTTAGGCAAACAGATCGAACAATCGCACGTTGCAAATCGTTTCTAATTTGTCATTTCAACAAACACACATTGCTTGAGATACAAATCACATTTGTACACTTAGATTAGGTTAGCCGTATCTCCACTACGAAAGTGTTGCTTAGAGAGTGGCAAATTGAAAGTAACATTCAATTCTCACTAAGAGGTCGCGTGCTGTCCTATACCGACAAACTATTTGTCGCGGGTATTTTGTTAAATTAGCAAAAGTCTTTCTCTCAGCGCGCTTCTCCGTCGGTCGAATTAACGGAGAAGAGCAGCGTGATTCTTCCAGCTGACCTCGCGACAGTCCCTCTTCGATTATTTACCTCTGTTTAAACAGTTTATGTCTTCTTCTCAGCTCGCTTAGTACTTACTTAGCGCCCGCCACACACGGGAAGAATTGCAGCTCGCTCGTGACTTTTTTTTCTACGGTTAGCATTTTCAGACGGTCTCGAACGCTCTCATTATTTATGACGCAGCGTAATCGCGATATTGAGTTTCACGTTAAACGCAAGTTGCGAACGTCACGTCACGTGCGAATGACGGCTTGAGCGAGCCCGAGCGAGGCGTCACGTTCATGGTAGCCCGCGAAACCAATGAAATTGGAATAATCGCGCGTAGTAATTATCGAGATTGTAACGGCCAGCTAGGAGAGGGGAGGGGGATCGACTTTAATAATAAACCCATGCGGCGGCGCGCGAAAAATAGATTACGATAAACGCGCGTGTCGCGAAATTACCTTAAAAGGGCGGATACACACACACACTCTCTCTCTCTCTCTCTCTCTCTCTCTCTCTCTCTCTCTCTCTCTCTCTCTCTCTCTCTCTCTCTCTCTCTCTCTCTCTCTCTCTCTCTCTCTCTCTCTCTCTCTCTCTCTCTCTCTCTCTCTCTCTCTCTCTCTCTCTCTCTCTCTCTCTCTCTCTCTCTCTCTCTCTCTCTCTCTCTCTCTCTCTCTCTCTCTCTCTCTCTCTCTCTCTCTCTCTCTCTCTCTCTCTCTCTCGTATGCACTCTATTAAATTTTCCGATGTAGTGCTGGGGAACGTTTCATTAACTTGAATTCGCCGAGACCTACTCGCCATTTGGTTTAAACTGATTGAATTTCCAGGCGAGTAGCGCTCACGTTTGATAGTGTTGCGCCGATACACCGTAACGGACACTCACGGTTTTCGTGGCATGGTCCGTTGCGCAATTTTATTATTTCGATGAATTACAAATGATTTTACGGAGAATAAACCCTCAAAAAGACGACGACAACGGCGACGGGGCGCACGCGTGCGAGAGAAAGATCTGCTCCCCCCGTGAAAAATATATTATTAAAACTTGTGTATACGGAAAATCTTTCTGGCGCGTGTCCGCGAAGGGTTGGCGATGATACTCTCACACGAGAGTGTGCCAATATTTTTCTCGCGATCGCGCGAAAAATTCGTCCCGGAGTGGTTGTTGGCACACAGTAGCTTTTTGCGCGCGACCGCCGAGATCTGAAAGTTTTATTCCCGCCGCATGACGCAAATCCCACGTATTCCGCCGGCGACCAAAAAGTGTCTCGCCCTACGGCTCTCTTCCTCATCACCATTTTTCGGTGCTCGTCCGACCGACTCGGCGAGACCGAAAAACAAGCAACCTCCCACGATGGAGAAGTATCTCGCCGGGCGAACTTTCTAACAGCGTCGCTCGCCAGCAGAGAAAAAGCCCGGGAAGCGCGCAAAAGCGAAGCGTGGCGTCCGCGTTCGTGCGAACTTCAAAGAGACAGGCGGAAAAACGAGCGTCCATGAACGGCGAAGAGAATAAAAGTCAATCAGGCTTTCGGGCTTTCGCAGATACCGGCGCGACTACGTTTTTAATACTTAAACAACGGCAGAGGCCGCGCGCGAGTATCGATCCGCCGGTGCGTAACGAATTGCGTAAATCTATTTTCCGCTATCGATGACTTTGATAACGCCACGCGAAGGTAAGCGCATTCAAAGCGCTCCTTAACGGTACTGCTTGAAATTTTATTGCTTGAAGCTCGTCTCTCTCAAGTGAGATACGAGCCGGCCGGCATTCACACGTGCAACGAGGATTGTCGACTTCGTAAGTGTCGTATATTTACTTTATGACATAGTTACATCTGCACAATAACGTTTAACAAATCGACAGTCTTTGGTAACTGTGTATAGAAAATATTACTCCAGGCCCGTATTGATAGTTGTCTCTTGAAACTTACTTCAAGTGAGAGATACTCGTATTTCAGTTTAAAGTTAAATATAAGTTTTTCAGGGGAATTGCGTTTGTAAATACAACGTCACGTACATCACGTGCTTCAAGTGGAAAATACGGATCTAACTCTACATTCAAATCGGAGTATTTCACACGACACAAGTTTCAAGTAACGACTATTAATATAGACCTCAGATTTCAGCTCAGATTTAAACGAGAGTCTAAGTTTGGTTGAATCGTGTGATTACAGATATAAGTATTGCATATATTATAATTCGAATGGAAAACTTATGTTAGATCTGACTCTGAATAAAAATGTGAATATCTCACATTACACAAGTTTCAGGTGACAACGGTTAACTTTCTCTAGAACTCTAAATATAAATAAAATTTATCTATTTCAATATTTCAAATGTTCTCAAAAAATATGCGTTTTGTTTTATATCATAACTTTTTCCAACTTCATTGAATTACGAAACTATTAATAGATTCATATTTTTCGATGTTTTCTATATCGATAAGAAATAAAAAAATATTAAATTTCGACCATTTTTCCGGCAGTTATAAGCAAATAAAAATACGCTGGTAAAATTTATCCATGTTTAAACTTTACGTAACTTTTTGATGTTTAGGATTCGAGGTTAATACAAGCTTTACAGTACTGAGAGAATATTAATATAATATATTTTTCAAATAAGAAAATATACATTTTCTTAAAAATTTAACTTTTCATATAGAATATTTATTATTTTTATTTGCGTATTTTTATTTGCTTATAACTGCCGGAAAAATGGCCGAAATTTAATATTTTTTAATTTTTTATCGATATAGAAAACATCGAAAAATATAAATCTATTAATGGTTTCGTAATTCAATGAAGTTGGAAAAAGTTATAAAACGAAACGCATATTTTTTGAGAACGGTAACATTTGAAATTGAAATAGGTAAATTTTATTTATATTTCTGCATATTTTTTGTATTTTTAAGATTCTAAATTCAGTTGTAAAAATACAACAATGTTCTTTAAAATTTTGTTTTTTTAAATTTTTAAAAATTTTTCTTTAAATTTAAACTTTACGTAACTTTTTGATGTTTAGGATTCGAGATTAATACAAGCTTTACAGTACACTGAGAGAATATTAATATAACATATTTTTCAAATAAGAAAATATACATTTTTTTTTTAATTTAACTTTTTATATAGAAATATTTTTGCATGTATTTTTTGCATTTTTAAGATTCTAAATTCAGTTGTAAAAATGTTCTTTAAAATTTTGTTTTTTAAATTTTACAAAATTTTTCTTTAAATTTTTCTTTAAATATTTTTGTGGACCAAACACACGTTCAGTATATGGAAACTTGTATTAAGTAAATATTTACATTGACAATTCGAGATATGTTTTGAAATTTTTTATCATTTTCGTCATATATTGGACAATGCTCTAATTAATTTTTGTAAATACTTTTATTATGTAAAAGCATTTATAATTCTCCGTATTCATTACGCAACTTTGCAGAAGAAAGTCAGTATTTAATCAGTAAAGTTTTCAAATATGGCATCCTTTTAAATGAATATATTATTGGTCACTCGCCGGGTAAATATTTATAATTTTTTAGATATTTTTCCTCTCAGTGTACTAGTTGAGTTTTAGTTATGGAGTTGAGTGAAATTTAATTATTGACAAACTTTTGTTTAAAAATATTTGTAGCGATATAGAAAGGTAGACTGTATCTCTAGTGTTAAAATGTCAGACGAATTCGTTTCTCGTTTCATATAATGCCGTTCCAAACAAACAAATATATAAACGGTCTGACGGTTTTATTAACATGTATATAGATATGACGTCAGTTACTGTCGTAACGACCAGCCCGTGCATTTGTTGACTGAGAGGTTTATTAGGAATCATAAATCGCTGAAACCGAATTGATAAAGAGTAAACAGTGGAGGGTTCGTGGAAATATGACGTGAGAAAAAAATGTGGAACTTTAGGGGTATCTTGTAAAGTAAAATGGAAATCAGGGAGGGGATCGCGACGAAACGAGAATAAAAGGAATAAGTTTGTTTGAAAGTGGAAGATTGACCGTAGTCAATTGATCGTCTCTCTCTCTCTCTCTCTCTCTCTCTCTCTCTCTCTCTCGTCGGGACACCATGAGCGCATCGCCGAAGTGGTTTTTGAAATTTCGTCTCGAAATTGACGATTTACTTCTCACCAAGATATAAAAATTGCACTTTACAACCCCCGTAAAATCATCTCTTTCCGAAGTGAAATGCAATCACGATACTGAAAGCGCTGTTATAATAGCCGGCCGACGGAGAAAACAATCATGAATATTATGCGGGACCTTGTGCGTTTCCGCGAAATCGTCGTCGTAATGGAATATTTTATTCATTCAGACGCATGAGAGAGTTAATTCAAACTTCAATAATGGAGAACACACCCGTTGTACAATGCAATTTTTATATCATGGTGAAAAAC